GAGAGAGAGAGAGAGAGAGAGAGAGATAGCTCAGGCTCCCATGTGTCTCTATATCGTGCAACATGCTCACGTCTGAGTTGCAGCAGCGGACTTGCACGGACATGGTGTTTGAGAGGAAAGCACCAGCCACTGGTGGAAGCTCCGGCAAAACGCACTAAAAATGTGGCAATGTTACACCTCTCCAGCGGATTATTGGAAAATCCACTAATCAAACACTGAGCAATGGGATTAGCTGGTGGTGGGGAAGTAAATACAGAGAACTCACTGTTTTGGAGTCCAACTCGTGCCTGGTCTGGGCCAAAACTTTATCCACGCCGGCCTGATCAACAAAGGTGACGAATCCGAACCCTCTGCAGACATCAGGGAGAGGAGGAGAGAGGGAGGGAGAAAAGGGGGGAGGAAGAGGAGTAAGGGGGGTATTAATGACACAGAAACTGATGTTGACATGTAATCATACGTTATGTGCAGAGAGGAATCACGGAGGTCAGATAAACTTTCAGCCAGCCGCGCAGCTCTCTCACCTCGAGCGCTTGGTAACCGGATCTCGCATCACCATACACTCCTTCACCTCCCCGTACTTGCAGAAGTACTCCTTCAGACCCTCTGGGGAAGAAAAACAAATAACAACGTAAGTACAAAAGAAGGTGGAAAAAAGACACGATAACTGATGAATGAAGAGGTGGGAAACAGATGACACGTTTCAGGTAAAAAAGTTTGGCTCCAGGGTCAAACTTTTGCTGAGATTTCTAAAGTAACAACACAAAAAATCATCAGGACTCAAAGAACACTTCCAATTACATGCTTTTTTGAATAGATCTCATCTTATTGCAGCTTTAATAATTTAAAATCCAACTTTCTTTTAATGACATTTACAGAATCACTCATTGACTCTATGGCAGGTCTGAATGGAGGCATTCATCCTGCAGCAGGTTTCATACGTAAAACTCAGAAAAACACAAAACAAATAAACAGATTCAGTGAAAGCAAAGAGAAATATGAAGAATTTCTTTTGGTTCCATCACATCCATGCCAGGTTTTTTTTTTAAGACATAGTGGTATTCTATGAGAGCAAGTGGTAGGAAAAAAAAAAGATTTACCTTGTGTTGTTTGCCAGCTCAGTCCACCTATGAACATTTTACTGTAGAGAGAGAAGGTCCATATTTACATATTCATTAAAGGAGCATTCCGGGAGTTTAATATTTGTATGGTTACACAGGAGAGACAAAGTTGTCAATGAGGGTTTTGAAAGTGTGAGTGTGTGATGAAGGCTCTCAGTGTGGAGGTGTGTGTGTGTGTGTGTGTGTGTGTGTGTGTGTGTCCTCAGCAGAATAACCACGTTTGTTCCTGCTGAGCTGCACAGAGAGAATTTCAGAAAATAAAAAGTTTTTTCGTTACCAGGGGTCGTGGGGGGAGTCCGTGGTGGACAGGCTGCTCTGGCTCCCTTCCGTCTCCATATCGTCTCCTCGCTCCGTGTGTGTGTGTGTGTGTGAGGGAGAGTGAGAGAGTGCAGTGTGTGTCCGGGCCGAGCAGTGCGGGAAAACAGGCGGAGAGAGGAGCTGGGCGGGTTTGGCCCGGGGTGACAGAGAGGGGAGCGGGGTGGATGCAGCAGGAGGCTGGGACAGACTCCTCCTCCTCCTCCTCCCTCTCTCTCTCTCATCCCGCCGTAGAGGAGCACCGCTCCTCCTCCTCCTCCTCCTCCTCTCATCCCGCCGTAGAGGAGCACCGCTCCGCCATCAATCTCCTGCCGTCAGACACAAAGGTTCCTCTTCTTCCTTTCAAAATAAAAACATGATTTACTGACAGGTACAGGTTGCTTCTTCCTGTCTGTTGTTTTTTTTCTCCTACTTATGTTGTTGATCTACAGTTTATATCAATTTATATGAAGTCAATTGAACGTAATGTATTTATTGAGCATGATTAAAACAGAAATCGTTGAATATACAATAGTAAATTATATTGTAGGGGTAAACAAGGAGGTTTTTTCAACTAATATTTAGCTGCTTTCTATTTTGTTTTTTCTACACATTTGTTTTTTATTTTTTTTAAATGTCCAAACTAAACATATTCAATTAAACTAAACATGCAAAAAATTACAATTTACATGAAGTCTCCCCATTGAACATTTAAAAGCAAGTCAGGTAAACTCAACTTATTTATAGAGCACATTTAAAAGCAACAAGTTTGAATATATTCAAGTTTTAACAACACATAAAATAAGATTAGATAAAATAAAACAGATTTTATTAATCCCAAAGAAAATTGCTGTGCCAGCTTGCTCCATGATTACAGTAACACGATATCAATAGTGAACAGAGGATAAAACAATAGACGATTTATTCTAAACAATAAATCCTCTATATAAATATAATATAAAGTGTCTTGTAAGCAAAAAAAAAAAAGGGTACACCAAGTAAATATAGAACTAGTGCATATATAATTAAATTAAAATAAGTTTTAATCTAGCTTTAAACCAACAGACCAACATTTTGGTTGTTAGTTAATTCACTATATATAACTACTGTGTTTTGTCACATAAATGGTACATTCATGCATCAATCTCCAATAACAGGTGTTCAGAGGAGGGCTTATGGTTATTGACAAATACATTGATACATCTGCTGATATCAACATTGCAGCATGTTATAAAAAATGTTTTTTAGACTATTTTATCAAACATGAGTAATTCAAAACTTCTCATAGCTTGAAGTTTTCAACTTTGTCTTTTTCTGTGACAGACATTGAGCTTTTATTATGAAGGTAGAATCTCATTCTTTCCTTTCACATGCTGGATAACTTTGATTAACTTTACACATTTTCTGTAATAGTTCAAATAGACTCTTAACAGGCCCAATTTACAGTTACAATAACTCATCTGTCATGATGTCACTGATCATGATGTCACTTGTTTCACTGGTTTAGTGACGTATTCAAAACTTTTGAAACAATTAAAATCTTAGGTTGAAAGTTTGAGGAACCACATGAAAAAACACAGTGAATTGACTGATTTATTTGACTATTTATTCAGCAGTAACATTAAGAAACAATCAAGTGGAAATAATTTGGAAATAATATTATTAAGAATATTATTATTATATATTAGAAATAATTAAAAGATAATTTCTTGATAGCAGTGAAGACATAATTCACACACAACCTGCTCTTGTATAAATGTGTTGACGTCACAGTGCAATGGTCACAGAGTGAATCAGTTTCACAATGACTGGCCAACAGTCAGAGTTGGGAAATAAGTTATCAATCATCACCTCCAGCCTTTTTAAATAGGTGGACATGGCCACAATGTTTCTCCTTTAAAGTCATTACTCAGCACTCAATTATACTGTAATACTGTGTCTGAGGTGCTTAATTTATGATACAATTTACAAATAGAAAATGGTTTGTTGCATTTCCAGACATTAGTGACATTACCTAATCTACTGAAACTACCTATCCTATTAATCAATGAGCTTATTGTTAAGTCCTTGATGTCAATGGAGAGTTGATTTGTACCAGTTCTCTTGTTTGCAGCTGTAGATAGCACTGTAGATACCACAATCATTTGTGTGTCATTATACATCTTCCATAATGCAAACAGGCATATGCACCGTGGTTTAGCAGGAGGTTTGGGTGCTGTGTTCTCATTCATTGCTAGGGTTTAAGTATTTAATTAGTACCAAAGCCAGCTCCGGCTAATCTTCTCAACACTGACTCAACATGTGACCTGGTAGCCAATGTTAAGGCCAATCAATAGCCTGAGCGACTCAAACAAAGACAATGACGGCTTTGACTTACGGGCATAAAACACATTCTGTCACACTCAGGAGTTTGTTGCAAAGTTTGGAGGTTAAAGGCCTGAGTCTGGAAGGTGGTTTTTGGGCATGCTTACACTGAAACATTTAACATTAAGCAAAGAATAGTCCTGGTTATGTCCCCACAACGCATTTATATTTCAGGGCAACATGACAAGCTAACACGTAATGCACGTACACAGGTTTAGATTTGCGATTGTCCTCTCTAACGCAGTTCATCGTCACTGGGTGCTGAAGCCAGTGTCCTGCCTGCACACAGGCCTTTCCTCTATCCTCTGCAGATGAGCAGATGAAGCTCTGGAAGTGGGACAGGCGCTATTTGGACAGGAATTAAGGGGTGTGTTAAATTTCTGCATGCATGATCAATGGGGTTGAATGGCGGCGTTGGGGATGGGAAGGGTGGTGGTGTGGGGAACACGAGGCTGAGAGAGACAGAGAGAGAGAGAGCTAGTGGTGAGACTATACGCACAGAGGCAGCCAGCAATGGCTCACTAATGAGAGATGGACAGTGTGGATTGTGTGTCATTACCAATCAGCATAGCTTTGAGTTCTCAGTAGAGGGAAAATGGAGGCTCTAATGTGTGCTGCATGTGGTCCTTTTTGATAAACCCAGCTTGTGTGGCGGAGCATTAGTCACAGCGGTATCTGAGCCGCTGGAAATCCACACACACTGCCCTCTGTCTGTTTGCTGAGGAGTGTCCTCTGAATAGTACAATGGGACTTAATTACAGGTCAGTGGCATGTCTCAGGAAGATAGAGGGAGCTCTGTTACCCTTCCAAATACAGTATAATGCCATCTTCCCAAGGGTGGGGTGGGGTAACACCAGCTACACACAAAAAGGTGCGGATAGGCTGAACCTGAGAACGGGATAAGGTGATCCATGCAGAGAAAGCAAGCGTTTTCAGAGAGTGAAGATAAAGAACTACATTAACTCTCAACGGTTTTTCTCCCCATTCAGTTTGCCCTCTTTTCTTCCCAGTCCACTTCCAACTCATCATTCCTGCCAACTTTCTCTGATGGAAAAAAAGACAGTGGATCAAAGACAAAAATAATCTTGAAAAAAATAGATAGATGAACATAGACAAGTAGTAAAATGCTAAGTTACAGCAGCTGAGTTTAAACATGCCAGCAGTTAGCTGATATTATATAACTTTTTTTTAAAACAGTCACTCACATCAATTTTGCAACATGAGCAATATTTTGGCCTGATCATTAACTTTGTATTGGAAAAGGACAGATGTCTTAATGGAGATGAGTGGCAGAAAAGAAAACAAAGTGAGATACACATTGTTAAAATATCAACAAGTGAGCCAATGGAGTGTAAAATAATAAGATAATATAACAACAAGTTAGAGCAGGGGTTCTCAAAGTGGGGTCAGGGGACCCCTAAAGGCCCCAGAGGGGTTTCAGTGAGTCCCCGGCAAAAAGGGGAATCATTTATTTTTATTATACTTTCATCCATATTTTAAAATATTCTGTCTGTTCTATCTAAAACCAAGCATCTTGTCAGCTGGGGGTCAGTGGTCTAGTTAAGATGCTTTAAAAGGAAAATAAATCATAACAATACACATACAATTTTATATTCACACACAAAGTGAGAACATTTAGTAAATAATCAAAATTGAGGTCAAGTCATGCATACAAGTTACCAGTGGTGGAAATTAACTGCAACTTTTAGTCAAGTACTGTACAGAAACAGAAACTGTACGCTATGCGATACTTCTACTCCACAACAGTGAAATAATGCACTTTTTAACATTTGTAGAATAGAATTCATTGTTAATGTGAAACCAGTGGTTCCCAGACATTTTAACTTGTGTATCCTTCCTTATATTCTAATATTATAATACACCAGTGTCTAGTTTGGGTCTTTTGTAACATTTCTGTTGCCCTTTGCAGTTTCACTTAAGAGACATTTCCCCTGTAACCCTTTTTTTATTTAGTTCACATGTGTGATGTATTATGACGTTTTAAGGAGAATTGTCTCTTTTTGCTCTGACTGATTTCGCAAAATATTTAACCTGTACGTTTTTTTTAAACGCACCAAAAATATATACAGATTTGTCACCCATTCCTTATGTTGCTCTAAACTATAAAGAAGTCCAAATTAAATCTACATGCTTAACAAATAAAATGCAACTACAACAATCATTTTAAGTTATAACATTCTAATAATGTTAATTTTAACAATCTAGCAGTTTAAGTTTTGCAGGCTTGTGTAGATTTTTTTTATGTAGACTTCTCTTGATACTTTTTTTAACCATCCAGCATACAGGCATTAATGAACACAAGCAAAAACAATACTGAAAGGAAATACAAGTCATTTTCTGAAGAAATTTCAGAGACGACTTAAAAAGTTGTCATCTCTACCTCTTCTCTTCTTCTCTCTTCACAGTGTGTGTGGAACAGGCCACAACCTGAATCACTGGGCTGCTCTCATGTGTAGATGGCACAACAGCACTCTCAAGTGGCTCATACTGCACAACAGGTCATGCTGTGGTTCCATTCAGCTAATCTAAGAATAAATCTGTTCAATTTATTATGTTAAACTTTGACCTATAGACATTTTTAATTCCCTGCTTCAAAATTAAACTGTGGAAAATCATAATTCAACATTTTTTCTGTTTCCCAAAAGTCAGCTCCTGTGTGGAATCACAATATCTGCACATATAAATGTACCTCACAACTTTTCTGTTATGTTTTCATAACTTGCCCTCTGTGGCTGATTTGAGAGGCGATCAGGTTTCCTCCGCAGCTCTGTTTGCAGTTAAGATCTCCTCACTTTTATTTATTGTTTTTTTAAACTGTACTTTGGTCACTGTTGGGGACTGACAAGAGTGGGGACAAAGTTCACAGGGCGCATGTAAGGAGGAGGGGGTGAAGAGGAGGAAGGTTAAAAAAGAAAAAAGAAAATTGACCTTTGAAAGCAAAACAGCAGGTGGAGAGCTAAAAACAGGCAGCTCAGGACACCTCGGCAGGAAATTCAACACAGAGGAAAATGGAAGTTTGAATTCTGTGGAGCTGAATTGGGACTACGGCTAAAATGAGACCCATCGCTGGCTGTCCAGCTGTCCTTTGAGCGTGGTAGTGCACATAACAGCAGTGTTTGTTTGCGAAGCAGTAGCGAGGTAAGGCATCAGACTAATGGAGGGAGAGGAGACAGCCAGGGCAGCCATGCCGAGGCCGAGCCGTCTGACCTCCCTTCAGGAGCAGATGATCTGGGCCCTGCTGGAATCCGGACTGTCCCGGGACGTCCTGGTCCAAGCCCTGGGGGAACTGGAGCAGGACAGGGCGAGCGCTGGTGCTGAAAAGGGAGAGAGGGGGGACGGCGAGAGCTCAGAAGAGGGAGAAATGGATTTCCCACCGCCTATATTCCGAGAGCTGGAGAAACTTTCCCCAGAGGATGCGGCCAAACTGAAGGTAGAAGTCGACCAGCTCCTGCAGTAAGTAGATCCCAGCACTTCTCTGGTAGCTCCATGGCAACAGCCAAATTGCCTTAATCTCTCAACAACTGCTGTTCTCACACAGCAATTTGTCTTTGCCTCCCAATAGGACATGATTAGTTAAATTTGAAAATGCCTCAGCTCACCATCACCTCTGTTTCTTAATACCGCCTGCTTTTCTTTCACCTCCTGCACAATCACAACTAAGCATGTGAGAGTTGACACAGCAGTTTACCTGTTAACCCTTCTTTTATCTACCTAAGCTCGACTCTCTCTTTACCAATTCCTCCCGCTTTCTCCTGCTTCTCCGTCCCTCTCCCTCTCGCTCTCTCACTTGGTCTCCGCAATCTGGTTTCTGAGGCGAATTTAAAGAGGGTTCCTCCTGCTAGTTACTAATTACCCACCCCCATCATTATTCTCCGGACATTTCTTAATAAATAAGTTACATGCATAGGTGAAGATTAATGGAGGAGGGCTGGTCATGAGAGTTCATGTTTACACAACGCACAAGTCATATTTCTACATTCAGTTCTAAGACCTTATTTATAATATTTGGAATACACGGATTGGAAAAGAGATGAAAATGTTTTAAAAAGTAATAAAATGCTATTTTGCTTCTAATATACCTAAATATTTTTATCTGAGATGAATTTAAATCAGTAAAAGTTTGAGATTTCAGCTGTTTTGTGTATTTTCACTGCTCTTGACTTGATAGTTAGAAACGGTTAAATGAGGCTTTTTAAATCTTTTACATGTTTTTCCCCTTCAGTGATCTAAAAGGCCTGGACTTTGCCCCTGTGTGCTTTCCCTTATCTCTCTCTGTCAATAAGCCTCCCCCTACTTCCGTCTCAGTGGTGATGCTTTATGTCCAATGTAAAACAGAAAACCTGTACCTGCTAAGCACTTTTCCAGTAACACCCAGAAATATAGGGGGAAAGAAAAAGGGATATACATCATTCAAAAAATTTTAATTATAGGAAGATACAAGAGGCAGGTGCACCTCAAAAAGGTCTTTCTCTAATAGGGAGGACCCCTGGCATGTTGCAAAAATGGTGAAAAGCTACATGCAGCAGCACAATCTCCCTCAGAGAGAGGTGGTGGAGTCCACGGGACTCAACCAGTCCCACCTCTCACAGCACCTCAACAAGGGAACGCCCATGAAGAACCAGAAGAGAGCGGCTCTGTACAGCTGGTACGTCAAGAAGCAGTGCGAGATCAGCCAGCGTGAGTACTGAAGCAGATGTGAAGCTGCACAGACCCAAGTTTCTGCTTTTACCCACTGATCATATTTCACACACACACATTTTCACACACTCATCAAATATCAGTCCTCTAGGAGACCGAGACAAAGAGAAAAACACAGTACCATTTTCTTCCAGAATTTACCAATGCCAAACATGGCATTGCATCGGTGGATGAGCAAGAGGATGTGAGGAAAGGCCGGAGGAACAGGTTCAAGTGGGGTCCGGCATCGCTGCAGATCCTTTTCCATGCATACGAACAACAGAAGAACCCCAGCAAGGAGGAGAGAGAGGGGTTGGTGGAGGAGTGTAACAGGTGAGATAAAGGGAAGATAACATGTCCGTTTTGTACATCCTTGTTAAAAAAATCTGACAACAAAAAGGTAAAAAAAAAAAGCTTTTGTGTTCCTGGTATGTATGTATGGTGGAAATGCTGACACCTACAGTATGTTAAGCAACCATAGGGTCATACTCAAAGTGGTTTGTAAAGAATATCTCTTATTGTGTCAAATTCTGATGAGCTAAAGTCTGTACGTTTCTCCTCTCTCAGGGCAGAATGTCTCCAGAGGGGAGTGTCCCCCTCTCAGCTTGCTGGATTGGGCTCCAACCTGGTTACTGAAGTTCGGGTGTACAACTGGTTTGCAAACCGCCGAAAAGAGGAGGCCTTCCGTCACAAACTGGCCCTCGACACGCCTTTCACCAACCAATCTGCCTCATCCTCTATCCTCAACCTTCCAAGCCCGGAGCATGGTAACACCCTAACACCCTTCAGACAAGCACAAACAGGTTAAAAGGACAAAGTGAAATTAAGGAGAATGAGTGTTCTGTTACGCAAAGTTGGACTTCCCATGGCCAGATCTCTGGATGTTGTCTTCTTAGGGACTGACTTGAGTTGTTTTCTAGGTGTGAAATACAGCCAGCAAATCCTGTGTGACACTATGAGCTCAGCCAGAGGTAGCGGAGGAGAGAGAGTGGGACGTCTAGTGGTCAGCCCTGTCCAACTGGAGCCCAGCCACACACTCCTCGAGACCCATAGCCACAAGCCTGTGAGAGCATGTGAAATGGTTCCTGTCCACATTAGTGTATGGTGTATGGTACCTGTTTGTGCTGCTGCCATGATGATCAAGTTGTCCTCTTGTCTTAGGTGTCCAGCAGTGGCCCACTGCCCCCAGTAAGCACTCTGACCTCCCTCCACAGTCTGTCTTCCTCCCCTGCTTCTTCCCAGAGCCTCATCATGGCCTCACTGCCCAGCGTCATGAGCCTGGGGGAGTCCTCACTTCTCATCGGTAACATTTCAGTCTCATTTCTGTCCTATGTAAGAAAATAAAGAAAAAAATCTGAGACCCGTGTTTTCACACGTTGATTCACAGGTTTAGCCTCCACGCAGCCTCAGACCGTACCCATCCTAAACAATGTGGGGGGTGCGTTCACAACGCTTCAGCCAATCTCATTCCAGCAGCAGCTTCACGCCTCTTCACATCTGCCAATATCACAACAGCTTCAGAGCCACATGAGTGCCAGTCCGTTCATGGCCACCATGACGCAGCTGCCCTGTCACAGTAAGGCTACAGCAATACAATGAGATGAGTTAAACATGTTGAGGTGAGTGTGGAGTTATTAATCTGTACCGCATTTCAGTGTACAACAAGTCGGACTCACCACAGTACCACCCGTCCAGTCTGCTGTCACAAACCATGGTCATCACTGACAGCAGCAGCCTGGGGAATCTGACCAGCCTTGCCACTGTCAGACCGGTAACTGCTCTGTTTTGGATTTTAGAAGAAAGGATTCAGAGCAATATTTAGTATTAAATGATTTAGTAAAATGTGCTTGATTTATGTTCATTCATGGTTTGTTTAGATTCTAACAGCAGATCCTGAGGAACAGACAGACCCGACTTTACAGGAAGAGTCTCTGCACCTGCAGCCTCACACACCTGGGCCAGGTACGCAGCCGTAAATAAAGGTGTATTCACTGACATCTACATCCTAATACAACATGTTTGGGTTGACTACTAACTATGCAAATATTAACAGGCTATCCTACCTAGTATGAAAGATTTTTGAACATTTCAGCGCTACATGTATCATTTAATATGACAGTTGGTACTGAATGCATTGATGTTACTGTATATTAAACCATGGGCTGGATAAAATGACCTGGGATAAAGATGGTATAGATGAATTTGAGAAATTATGATGTTCTGCAATAATGTCAACACATACGATTTTAAAGCAACAAAACATTTGTCTTCTTGTCCTAAGTTAGATGAAAGGATTAATATCCCTCTCGTTTCTGCTCATTTATTATGACTCTGGTGGCAGCAGCTTGGCTTCGTTAGCTGTCTGACAACCTCATGATGACAGCAACAATCCAAGGAGTCACAACTTCTGGTCAAGAAATAATCTGAAACTTCAAAAAAGCATGCACATCCAAACTTGGTAAACACTAGGTGCTGGATGGAAGTGACGAAAACCAGAAGAAAAGAAATGTCCGCACACCAGTTCATGCTCCGATATACATATTTATTTTACCTTCCTGTTAAGTAACGTGTCAGACAAAAGCCCTTCTTCAAATGTGACCTACTAGAAATAATCAGAGACATAACATGGTTTTAAAATTTCGCTGAGTGTAAAAATTTAAGAAAATTGTTATCGTGGATTTTTTTAATCTTCAGTCAGGGTCAGGCTAGTTGTTGTTTCCAGTTTTAAAGAGAACTATTCCCAGGCTCCACCAATGAATGAGTTGTATTGATTGTCTCATCTTACTCATCCAGAAAACAAAGTATTTATGTGACTTAACTTAATTCTCTGCCCAGGTTGCCAATATTTGGTTTTATCTATTAGTAGAAAACAGTTGTTAGGTGCTACATGTGTTCACACAGCTGTTTGTCCTCTCTTTTTATCTATAATGAATCACTAGAAAGAAACATTCAAAACAAATTTTGCCAAAAGCGTTGGTGTCCAAATAAACCTAGTTTTTCAATGTTTCGTCAGCTGCATCTTCCCAGAGCTTGGAGCTGTATCCTGCGTCTCAGACGACAGACAGACACCGGTCTCACCTCCTCTCACCTTCACCAGATATCAGCTCCTACATCCCTACACAAATGGTCTCTACAGCACAGTAAAGGGTGCTCGGATAATGCAGTGCCTCCTCAATATGAGATGGACTGATGGTGTTTTGTGATGGACAGCTACCTCTGGTGTACGTCTCCAGAGAAACCTGGAGTCTGGGGCTGAGGAGGATGATTCAGCTTCGTTGTTTGAAAAAACTCTCTGACTCAACTGTAAAATGAACAAGGATCCACATTAAAGAAGATTTAAAACAAGAGAGAATCCACTGAAAAATCAAATCCAAAATGTATTTTTATCAAAATGTTTTGTATTATTCAGAAATGCTAAATTCAGTTCACACATTACTATTTTTTTTATCTCACTGCCTATAAATGTGTTTTCACACTTGAGTGAGTCTCTTACATGACAAAGTGTGGTAATTTCAAGTATAACCATGGCAATAATATTAAAATATTTTGAATAATATCTCACCATCCAATCATTTCAAGCTTGTGACAGAATATGGCAGAATGGAACATAGACAATCATCCTAGAACAGTAAAAGGTTATTTATTCGAAATTCCGTTTGAAGCTTCTTCCATTTCGTTTCCTTCTCGCCTCCTTTTCTTTTTCCGTTTAACTTTGACTTGTGTGTGTTCCTGTTCTGAGTTCCTATGCTCATTGTTGCTGTGAGCATTTACAGGATAGCTTTCAGTGTCCAGTGCACTCTCCTCCTGATCCTGCCTCTTCTTTTTCTTTTTCTTAACAACGTGGCCCTCTTCTCCCTCAGCCACCTTTTTCTTTTTCTTTATTATTCCTGAGCAGAGAGGCTCCATTGAGGGAGGTGAGAGCGTCGAAGGCTGTGTCAAAGAGGGCAAGAGATCTTTGAGCGACACAGCTGCCTCTCTCAGCCTTGATTCCATCTCACTGTCGCTGTCACTATGAAGAACAGAGAATTCACGATGATACATTTACAGGTATAAAAACAAAATCAACGTTTTTGATGAAAATACAAATGAATACTAAATAAGAACCTTGAGCTAGGAACTGGACGACGCCTCACTGGAGCTGGAAGCTCCTCAGCTGTCGGTCCTGGGATGGATGTAGAAAACAAACGAAATCCTGGAAGACAAAAAAATAATGAATAGCCCTTCTTAAAAAGAAGACTGCATAAAACTCATAAAAGCAATAAAGGTTTAAAAGAAAGAGAAACGTTACCTTCATCATCTGCATCATCGCATTGCGCTGATTCCACACAGGATGAAGATTTGGTTTGTGTTTCTGAAATGTAACTTACAACAACAGACAGAATAAATGAGGTGAGAAAAAACATGTGCAACTTTACCTCACATTAAAAAAAGCTCACTTTCACATGTGAGACTTTTTAGACAGTTACCTGTCAAGGAGATGCCCCAACTTTTTAGCAACGTGCGTTCGGAACCCTTGGCTGACCTGGAGCTCGTTGCCATCGTGTTCATGGTCAGCGACGACAACACTGTTGCACAGCAAGACAACATTAAAAGTTCACTATGAATAAAGTGTATTATCAGGTCACAACTGTTACACTACTGCTTTATACAGAATGGCTATTGAGTGAGTGGTTACAGCACAGACATACCGTTTAGACTGCTTCACACTGTTGTCCTCCTCTAAAGACACACAGACAAAAAACAAGTGATCAGGAAATGAACTGTAAATAATGACATGCTGCTCTGATGATATACTAGCACACTGGACAGGTGGAGTAGCATGCTAAGCTACAGCTTCGGTGCAGGACGTTACAGAGGTTAGAGGAACACAATGTATATTAATGACAATCATGTAACATTAGCTGAAGCACTCAGCTAACGCATCTGTACATGGAGGAGAAGTGGGATTGTGGGTGAACTTCACCGTTCCGACAGGGGTCTTTGACGTCATCTCTCACACAAACAAACAAACAAACAAACAACAAATCGTTCACCTTGCTCCGCCACAGCTCGGGTCTCCCACACGGCCTCCTGACATCTCCTCAGCGTCTCGTCGTCGCTGCTGCTGCTGGACTCGTCTGACACGCCGACCATCTTTTCAACTGGGGCCGCCATGATCAGCACGCATGTGCTGCCGCCGTCGTCTGTTTTGAGCCGAGGATTCTGGGAAATGGGGTCCACTCGTCGTAGACCGCGAGAGGCTCATTTCTCCTGTGGTTTTATTCATCGCCGGCTTCGTTTGAACAAGCAGCAATCAAATCAAAGCAACTAAAGTCAGGCTAAGTAGGTTTATTAGCATCCTCATTGTAATTACAGCCGGAGTCAAAGATGATGAAAAACCTTGTGCAAAATATCATCATTCCATGAACAGTAAAAAAAAAAACAACGACACAGAAAAAGAAATGGTGTTGGAGTAATGTCACATAAAAAAAAATCCTGTTTGTTTTCGAATGTTCAGCTTGCTACAATTACACTGAAATTCACATTCATTCAGACATTGTTTGGTGTCCAGAACAGGCCACATTCTCAGATCACCTGCTTTGATTCAATTGTGATACCAGCTGGAAGACAGATAAGCTCCCAACATCCCTGATAATCTGCTCATAAAGAGCACTGGGTTTTCAAAGTGAACAGGACATTTTTATTAGCGATACATCTGATATGATGTCGGTGTATCATTTGTCAAAGCAGCCCATGTAAAAAGAGGAATCTGTGCAATGAGTGACAGTTTGGATCCCCAACCTTTTGTGTCACTCATGTAGTGACTCAGTCATGTTTGTGAGGATAAACAAAGTGTGCTTAGATGATCAGGCTTTAAGATAAATTCCATTGACTGATACCGCATTGCAAAACAAGGTAATGTTCTCAGCTACAACAACCAAAGAGCAAGACAATTGACGGACATCCATTAAGTCCAAATAACTCAACATTGTATCGGGGCAGAGGGCAAAGATCATGGCTGTCCAAATGTCTGCCTGATGTCCAACTTGAGTGCGGGCTTCACAATGAGATGTCACTGATTATTCAAACTGTAAAATATAAAGTTTTTAAATAAAGTACATATGATGAGTCTATGAAATGTCCTATCCTGCACTAAGTCCCCTGTGTCTCACATGGCAGGACAGTGGGTTGCTGCGACATGGCACAGTTGCTTTTAATAGGTCAATTCAGCATATGGGTGAGAGAAGCATTGTAGTGTTTGCCTCACAACTGGATCAAGCACAAGGTATAAAAACCGTTTTAAAAAAAACACCTGGGTGATGATGATCATCTGGATACAAAGCAACTGGATGTGGTACTGCAGTGTACAGTGAAAGGAAACCCAGATCCTTTATGTAGAAAGATTTTCAGACTGGTCTGGTGCTCTTGCATGAGTTGACTGATTAACTACAGATTACACATGCCACTGTTACAAATTCTGACCATTCACAATTTTTTAAGAATTATTTCCAGCCTTTAAGGTAGCTGCTGATTTCCATTCATTTATGTACAATATGAAAATCAAAGGAATGAGCACGCTAATCAGAGTGGACATTTAGACTGAAAATGATGTTGCAGGCTGGGACCATTTTCAAACTCTTCATTGTTAGTGTGTGCAATGGGTTATGGGCATTTGACATGACTGTTCATTGCAAAACCATCACTCTTGGCAGATTTTAGGAACATCTATCACTAAATGCAAAACATTTTTACAGTATCACTGCCTCCTGAATGATTCAAGTGAATCAACTCCTCTCTGCGGGTGTCAACGACAAATAGAAATCTAAGGTAGGATTTATAGCAGGGCTGCTGTGAAAAGTTGTATCATATTGTACAAGCAAACTTAATAGGAGACTTATGAAAAAGTTAATTTTGGGGCACCAGATAGAACACTTCACCTTTTCAGTCCTCTACAATGGCTGAAGGTTCAATTCCAACTTGCAGTCCTTAGCTGTGAGTCACCCCCCCACCCCTTCACACTCAATCTGTATATCAAATAAAGGCAAAAAAAATGTTCAAATATATATATCTGAGTAAGTATGTAAAACCACCACAAGGCTTCCATGAACAGAAAAAGAGACAGGCCAGGTTCTACAACTACCAAGTTATTTCACTCTGTTCTGTCATGTAGTGTGCTAGTGTGTATTTCATTGGTAGACTGAGGGCCTGAATGCACAGCAGACGTTTACTGTGGCTAAACTCAGCTCCAACTGAGTGGGATTCACAGTGCTGAATAAAACAGGAAAGTCGACTTCAGGGGATTAAATAACCTTGTGATTACACGATGAAATCAGCCAGACTAAATCGTTTTAGGCATGGACGGCGTTTAAAGCAACATGTGTCAAGTCCAGTAACTCTGATTGTCCTGCTGTCTTGTCCTATTTGTATGTCTCAAAGTCTGACAGAACAACAGATTTAAAGTTGACAGCAAAATGCAGAATGACAGCAGAATTAAGATGACACGTGAAATTATGAAACTGAGCACATCCTGTTGTTGTGTAATAAAATGTTCTCCTAAATAAAGAGATTGGTCGGCCAAACAATGCATCATATAAAATGGACACCAAGCATAAATATCTGACACAAACAGTCCCAATGAGTCACAACTGATAATATATTTAAGGAAAAATGGACCTTAATGTCAACTAGTGCTACATGATCATCTATAACTAACAATACTGTAAATCAACTACTTAATTCTCACATTTACACAAAGGAAACACAACTATCATGTGTAAAATGTAGCTCAAATAAGCCTCCATTGATAGCATCTATGTATTTAACTAAATGAAGTAACAACTAACACAGTCTACAAGCTTTGTCATGAGAGGTCTGCGACTCAAAAGTGTCCCTTTCCAGCAGAGACAGAGAGAAACTTAAGGCAGAAGTGTTCAAGCAGTAACATGATACTTGTAAGACAAACCCAAAGACAGAACAAAAAGGCTTCAGTCAGATTTAACAGAGAAATATTTAACAGAACATTCCTCAGAGTCCAAGAAACTGAGCTCTGTGAGGTACAGATGAATGGATCCATGATTTCATAACAAGGCAGATGTGGTCGGTTGAATACGAAGTTGTCATCACGTTTGTAGGAATGTAGATAAAGGAGAGAATACTTCTGTCCACCGAAAAGAAGCTTTTGGATGGATGTAATCCAAGAACTCAATCTCCTGGGAGGTATTGCACACATTTTCCCCTTCTGGTATTACAGACCACCATTGTAGGCATAATCTGCCTTGTTGTGCATGATGAGTTTATTGTCCACAAAGTAGAAACTGTCTGATCTGGTCTCATAAGGGTGCTCCACCATTTGGCGAACTAAAGGAGGTGAAGAACAAACAAAACAAATATTAATATATGTGAATTATTGTGGAAAATATAATCCCAGAGAAATAAAATATGTGGCTAGAGCCTAGAACTCACTGAGGTCGTCTGGAAGCTGTGGAAACTCATAAATGTGTTCGCATGTGTTGCGGCTGTTAGGAATGCAAAAGCCAAAGTCAAAGTCAAAGTTCTTAAGGAGGCGCCCCTGGAAGTAATGCCTCTCAATCATACGAAAGCTGTTTATTGGCCGGTCACCCACTGTGAACTCCACACTGCAATTAGGAAAGAGAAAAAAGAAAGGCAATAATTGCAATTAACTGATTAGAGACTTAAAAGACAAAAGGCTGATTATTATGCTCTCAGCTGTTTTCATTCAGAGTGTTATGGCCCATTTACTTACGTTGCACCAACAGTACGCAGTTTTAGGAAGGCTGGTGTAAACTGGTATCTGACAAATCGCCCTGCACTGGTGTCAATATCTGGACTCTCCTCTTCACTCTCCATTGGACCTAAAACAGAAATATTTTCATTTAGTTGGAATACAATATTGACAGGAGAGGGAAAAATAACAAAACACGGCAGCATGCATATAGCTACATAATCATATTTTTTACTAGATCCATGTTGTGCTATCTATCACATGTAACTGATCAATATAAAACTTTTTCCAATAATTTTTAATCAGGTCAGACGGATAAATTACGCTTGGTGGAGTGGCAAAAGTTAATACATAACTTACCACTGTTGGGAGGCTTGGCGATCTCAAACAGGACTGTCCCCGTCTCCAGATCTCTGATTTTGAACCGAGTAAAGTCAACATTGTAGATATTATCTTCAGGTTTGCAAAGATAGTCTGGAATGAATAAAAGAGTTTGAGTTAAGAAAAAAAGAGGGTTAATCCCTTATTTACCCAGTTAACAATAAACTACTCATATGGCAGTCGGTCCAATTTTAAAATTAGTCATTTTTAATGAGATTTACTAGTAAATGTATGTTATATACTGTAGTAAATCTCACAATACAAACATTTCCAAATGCTATGTCAGTTCTAACCTAAAGAACTGAGACAGCGCTTTTTTAGCAACAAGGGTTCTAGTATGTGTTTTCTGGCTCCTGTGAGTTGCAGCAGTCATGAGTAATACTACGAAAAAAACTGTCTCACAGCTTTTCAACATAGTGTTGTGCAAGAGAAGGGAAGTAATGACATTGTTGTCTGGTGCACAAAAATGTCAAAAACAATGAGGGTCGTTATGCGTCAGCTGCAACTGTGGTGGGCAGGGTGACTAATGACAGACCCTGGGGTTTGAGTCAGAGGATTCAAGCAGTTTTGATAACCATTTTGATTATCTAAAGTGGCAATAATCGATTCCTTTATATTAAAATGGATCGACTGCCTCTGTCGGCCCAGGCTGGTGATCATAAGCCATTTTCAGACATGAACTCTTGAACTTCCTCTGATGTGTTCTTAGTGTCTGGCACCGCTTATTTTCCTCAGTTCTCTTCACGTTTTTTCTTTTCAGTTTCCCATCTGTTGTGTTTTAGAAACGTGGTCACATTTCCCGCACGGTTGGAAATGTGATTCTGCCAAGCAGACCAATCACAGCTCTTGCAGTCTGTGTCGCCAGACCAGTAGTTACAATTTTGGGGAGTTAGTTTGCATTGGGGTGCAGCGTAGGGCGCACGACTACGTGTAGGCGACGCAGAAGCAAGGGCATAAGTTCATAGGCTCTTGCTCAGACATTTGGGTTCTCATTTACAGCCCCTCCAGAGAATGTCAGGAGATTATCTAGAGTTAAATGCCTGACTTGAAGACAGATGTTTCCTTCAAAGATGGCCAGAGATCAAAATAAAGCAAGACATTAAGTAAGTACGTGTCTCAAATGGAAAGATACACAACTCTCCACCGAAAACACAATAATGTAGGTCAGGGGGCCCTTGACAATATTCATTCTGGGTGGCCCAAATTCCTAGGTGCGCCCCTGGCAACACCTATAATCTTTGGTTAGCGCCAAACAATGAGGGGGGGGGGGGGGCTCACTACATGGACACACAAGGAGCGTGATGTGCTGAACTTATGTAACATTACTCACAAGATCCAGAACAACGAGGGGACTCACCAGTCAGCTGGTCTGAGCGTGTGTCGCTTAGCTACATTAGCATTGGGTAAATGAATGATGCTCGTGGAAGCGGTGCTGTTTTAAACCGGGTCTAATTGAACCGAGTAAACGTAGCTCACCCTCCGTGACAGCCCGCAGACCCAGGACATGATCCGGGGAAATATCTCTTCCCAGAGCCCGGAGTTCATCCTCGGTGACCACAGGCCACTTCTCCGTTTGACTGCGCCTCGACTTCAGCTTCTTCAGCATGCCTCCGCCGGTCCTTCGCTCCCTGTGGGTCGCCTCCGAGCCGCTGTCCGTGTCCGCCGGTCCCTTGCTGAGAGTCTGTGTCGGTTTGTTTCGGGAACCGTTCATACCCGACACCGTCCCGCTGGAGGAAGGAGTTGTTGTGCTCTGCTAATTTCTGGGAGCGACCCGACTGACTGCGGGTGTAATTTCAAGATGGCGCACAACGTGTACGGGAGACGGGAAAGCGAGGCCGTGATTGGCTGAGAGCGATGGGGGGTTGTCATAGTTACAGAGGGGGTGTGAATGGAGTGGAGTGCGGGCCCTCCCGTTTCCGCTTCACTGTGCTGTCTCCTGCAGGTGTAAACAACACCCTGCGTCACACCGGATCATACAATCATCTCCCATCCCTCCTTTCTGGAACACATTCAGCCTTTAAGAAGTCGGCTTTGGTGCGTTGACTGGAAATTCGCGCTGCCCGGTGCATCGAATCAAAGGCATCAGGCGTCGCCATGAATGTCCACTACGTGGCGCCATACTTGCTTCGCGTCGCAGATTGGCTTGTTGACGGAAGTTCCCACGGAAGAAGAGAGCAGCGATGGTACGGGTGAAGAGGAGGTAAACATGTGCCCATCATGTGTGACTGAACGTGGTCACAGTTCAGTTCTGACGGCTCCACTTCTGTCTACAGGTATTTACTGTGTGAGGTCAACGTGTCGAACCGGAGCCGCCTGTTGCAGCTGGATGACCGAGCTGTGGCGACCGCGGTGCGGGCAGCAGTGGCCCGCATACACGGAGACTATGGAGCAGCTCACTGCCTCATCGGCTTCTCTGGTGAGCAGCGGCGAATTTAAAGCTATTTAAATGCTTTTATCAAGTCATTGAAATTACAATCTAAAAATTAAGTAATTATCCCACAATCTGCGTATAGGGAACTTATTTGATCACCCAGTTAAAATTAGCCCTCAAGTTTACAACCAGAACATTTAGCTCAAGTATCAAAACAACTCTTATTGTAATTATTATTATCACAATTTTATTATTTGTTCATAATTTCATAATCATTACTGCAGCAATAGTGTTTCAACAAAATGGTTATGTTGTCAATAGAAGTCTCTCTGTGACATTTAGTGAAGTAGAGGAGTAGCATGTTTCAGTGAATGGCCACTGCTGCTTGTAGAAAAAATTACAAATAACTTTAGTGTGGGAGTATAAAATCTAAAATTCAATATATTAAATCCTAAACTAGATGTGAATGATTAAAATGACAAATTTAATGTCATGAGTTTCAAGGTACTTCACACATTAGTTTGCAAATCATAGAATCATGTGCACATATCTTTCAGGATGTTGGAGTATTTACTAATCTCTCTGTGTCACTGTTTTTTATTTCCTTTTTAGTGAAATATCTGAACGCTCATACTGGAATGGTATTTCTACGATTCCCCAAAAGTTGTTACAAACTCCTCTGGTCTGCATTACCTTTTATAACAAGTATTGAAGCTCGTGGCCAGAACATTCCGTGTTTTCTAAACTGTTTGCATGTGGGAGGTAAGAAAAACATCAAGACACATTTTGTTATGAGTTAGCCATAACTTTAACAATCCTTAATATTATTGGAAATTATTTTTTTTCCAGGAACAATTAGGACATGTCAGAAGTTTCTGATCCGATACAATACCCAACAGCTCCACAGGTTGCTCCCTCAATGTAAAAATGAAGGTATGGTATTTATATAATTATTTATACAGGAATGAATCTGCACTTACATACTGTAGTCCGTTCACTTTTTTTACTAGAGCATTTTAAATTGTCAAAGCAGCCTTTAGTGTACTGGAAACCACATTACACCCAAAATACAATGCTGTCAAAATCAACCAGCATTTAACTGGTTCCTCCCCTTTTTTCATTTACAGAGGAAAAACAACAGGTTCGTGAAGCAATTCTTCAATGCTCCATACCAGGAGGAAAGAAGGATACATTTGAAGACAAGTTAGAGAGTGAAGAAGATGAAGAAGATTGACATCACGGCATGCAGTCATAGGTTGCAACTTCATAGTTCTTCCTGGATGACTGACTTGGACTATCTTTATACAGTACTAACAGGGGGGAAGATATGAAGCATTTGAAGAAATGCAACCATGGAAACATGGTTTACTGCTGCTCTTCAGTGGATTTTTACCAAATGAAAACTCACTGTCTTCAATAGAGGAACATGTTAATGTTAAGTTTGTCACAGGAAATTTGGGTTTGCAGGGTGGCCCCATGGTCAGCATGAATATCATTTCACAGCATGGTTATGTTTAATGCTAGTCTTTACTATTACATTTTTGTTTTAAAACAAATGATCCACATCCACACTGCAGTGTTTTATTTTAAACTTAGTTAAAGCGCTAGTGTGTGGATGTGGATCATTTTTGTTTTAGCCTAATGCTGACACTGACTTAATAACTATTTATTTTGCATATGGCTAACTTCAAATTATTGTATTTGCATCACAAAATAAGACCATGATGGAATTCTGAAGAAAATGTTCAGAAGTTCAAAACTTTTTAGGTTTCAATGAATTAGTTTTGTATTTTTTACCATATTTTGTTTTGAAAAAATAAATTCATAAAATTGTTGGCATACAGTTTCTAGACATTTTATGAAAGATGCACAGACGAATACATTTTGCTGATATTAGCAGATATAGCATAGCTTTTCATGGTAATGGCATGATTGGGTCAGCATGGTGTCCAAACATTTCTTTTACACCACAGTCAAACTTTTAACAACAATACTTCTAGTAAACTAATTTTACAACTGCAAAAACCTTAACACTTACCCTAATTTGTATTGTAGACTGTATAAAAATTGTATTTATACAGTTAGTTAATTTATAGTCAATTGATTTACAGTCTCGTCAATAGCAAACAAAGGTTCAGAGATATATTGATTAGGCATGTGCATGCACAGTGGAGTGATATCCGTCAGATTTGTAAAATGTTTGTCATTTTCTCTCCATCAAGAAAAACCATAACCTTCTCTCAGGAGCTACAGTGACATTCATCGACAATGATTGATTTTGTTTATATTTTACACAGTAAATGTTTTATATACTTATGATCATATCGTCTACCCGTAGCTTACAGCTGATACAGCTACTAATACTACATTTCCCGACATGCCTAGCAGGCCCTCATCACGTAAACAAATTTGCAAGCGGTACAAGAAACATCCGGGTCTCTCAGCTTCCTGTCTGGCGACCCGTCGCCATTAGTGTGAGCTCGTTCGGACCGAGATATTTTTTGGGAGAAATTCTCCATTTAGAGAAGTTTTCCACCCAGTGGAAAACATCAGAGGCCTTGTTAAAGGCGCGCTGTTTTCCTTAGCGAGGAAACAGCGTCTTGTGGGGGTCTTGGCCCCGCGTGGCGAGCGTTCGTCCTCTCCTCCTACAGACTCCATTACTTGAGACGCCGAAATCGTGTCTCTTTTTTTCTTTGGTTGGTTGAGTTGTCAAGATGTCGCCGTGATGGGGTCTCCGCGTTTGACAGAAATGAATCAGGGCCTTCGCCGCCTGACCCGCACTCACCGCAGCCCGCTTTCCTCCTCCGTTTCTCTGTTTGATGCTAGAGAGCTCCGCTGCTCTCTGCCCAGAGCTCGTCCCCAGCACCGCTCGCTACCCGGACCCAAACATGGAGAAAAACCCCAACAGCAGCACCAGCTCCAAGGTTCCGCCTCGCTCCAGCTCCACAGGCCCAGCACCGGGAGAATCTAAACCCAAAACAGGTGAAAAGGCGCCGGTGAAACACACACACAATCCCTCACTGTCAAGCGCAAGTGTCCGCAGCTGAGCACGCCCAGTGCGCTGGGGCCTGCTGGGGCCTAGCCGTAGCGCACACGGTGTTTATCTGGTATGGCTGACGTCGCCGTCTAAACATCTGACCCACCAAACACCCGTGGCTCATATCTGCTCACAGCACTGTAGTTGCAATGCATACATTTGCCTGTCTTGCAAAACCAAAGTTTGAACTCCAACAGGCTGTATTGTGTACAAGCTAATCCAACATATAACTCTGATTCATATTCAAACCTCTCTGCAATTTCTCACATGGAAGTCCACTTACATGACTGCATGTTGCAGCTGAACACCCCCCCACCTCACCCTCCCCTTCCAAACATGCAAGCGAGCCTGTGTCATAAAAACTCAAAAGGTGTTTATTTTGTCCAGTCTGGGCTACTGTAAAAAAAACATGGCGGCCTCCGCAGAGAGGACCTGCTCCTGATGTAAATATAAAGTATTTACATATAAAGGACCCATTCTAGGCTGAAGAAAACAATGTGTACAATTTAGATGAAACGCACTATTGAAAACATCACTAGGATTCATTTATATTCAGTTTCTGCAGATAGATCCCTTTCACCTTAATCTTACACACTGGACCTTTAAAGTATTGGATTTATTTATTTGCCTAAATGACCCTAAGAACCGAGGTTATAAACTCCCTCAGAAGGCTTTTTACTTCCACCAGTCACGTCAGTCACAAGTCCTGCATCAACAAAGTGAAGTAGTTGTATTGAAATAGAACATTTCTCTTTTCATGTAATTAATGTCTATTTCTATTTAAATTTTAGAAAGTAAAAATAATGGAGGCTCCAAGCGATACAGCCGCAAGCGTGAGCCCACCTTTCCTAAAACCGACAGTTTACCAGGCCCTCGCCGCACCAACTCACAGAAAAGCAAGAATTTTGACAAGAGACCCCCTCAGAGAGGTGGAGGGCGACAGTATGGCGTTACAGGTGGAGGACGACGAGAAGAGGTTGGTATTTGTAGAAGGTTGCCTTGTACTTATTTTGTTACAACCTGACTTTCCACAATGTGAGTGATTAAGAATAAGAAAAAGTTTTTGAAAAAAGGCACAACATTAGTTTTTAAGTTAAACTGTCCTTTACACATTGTTCTTCTCCTGTGCCTCTCCAGGTAGCAGAGACATGCCGGGCCGAGTTTAGCCCGGCTCAGTTTGCTGGACCGAAAAAGATAAGCTTGAACCACCTGCTGAACTTTACCTTTGAACCTCGCGGAGGCAACGGTGGCGTCGGAGATGGCGGCAACTCCGGTTGGGGCCGTCGAAACAAATGGGGCCATAAGCACAAGCCCTTCAACAAGGAGCTTTTCCTCCAGGCCAAGTAAGCGGCCCCTCATACAGCAAACAATATGAAATAGAGAGGCTGAATATGTGGGATTAAACCTTCAAACCTTCTCTGTGTGTTTCAGTTGCCAGTTCATTGTGACTGATGACCAGGACTACAAGGCTCACTTCACTGATCCAGACACTCTGGTTAACTGGGACTGTGTGCAGCAAGTGGTGAGAGCTTGGTATCTGTTGAGCAGTGCCTCCAGTACAACAAGATATAAATCACACATTCACGAATGTACAAATACACATGATGATAATCTGATTGTGTACGTCCACAGCGCATTTACAGTCATGAGGTGCCGTCTTGCCCCATCTGCCTCTACCCTCCTTTGGCAGCCCGCATCACCCGGTGTGGACACATCTTCTGTTGGCCATGCATGCTGCACTACCTCTCTCTTGGTGATAAGAGCTGGTCCAAGTGCCCCATCTGCTATGAGGCTGTGCACATTGCTGACCTGAAGAGGTAAATGAGAAGTAGACAATGTAAACACTGAAACATTCACATATTAGCAGCTTATGTTGTGTTTGATATGGTTCATTTCTTATTGCAGTGTGGTTGCTATGGAGACCAGGCAATATGCAGTCGGTGATGTAATCACCATGCGACTGATGAGGAGGGAAAAGGGGGCTCTGGTGGCCATGCCCAGCTCTCAGTGGACAAAGGTGGAGGAGCCTGTTCGCTTCGGAGGTGAGAGACAGTGACACCTTTGTTTGTAAAGAGTGGTTTGTTGTTTGAGTGTTGTGATAAGAAACCTTTACAGCAGTACTGCATACCGGTTTTTGTGTCCCAGAACAATATGACTTGTGCTTAATAAGTTTTCTTTTTCTGAGGTAGACAGAAATTTAAGAGAACCATTTCTCCTTCTTAGGAGCGAGTTAATATACCTGTATGTGTATAATTCTTCAATAAAAGAAATCTGACAAGTGTTCTCTACGTTTTCTAGATGCGTGTCTTAGCCCGTACTCCAAGCTACTGCTGACCTCCCCATCGCAGGTCCTGACCCTGGTGGCGGAGGAGAGGTCTATCCTGCAGGGTCAACTTAGCAATGAAGAGGACGCCCAAGGCTGTTTCATCCAGAGCGCTCTTTGTCTTTTGCAGGTAAATAAAGCTACAACTTCACTTCACAACTTCACAACTTCATTATTTTATTCTGTGTACATAAAGTAATAGAAGGTGCATAGGTTACCAAAACTTCCCGTCTGAAATGAGTGTTTGCAAAATACGTATATCGAGGCATGCAGGAACGAAAATACTAAAGTTCTTGCAGTGTGACTTGATTTAAGGTTCAGTGTGTAGAATTTAGGGACATCTAGTGGTGAAGTTGCATGTTGCAGCTGAACACCACTCACCTCACCCTGTAAAATTGAAAGAGAACCTGTGGAAACCTTCAGTTGTCTCTTGCATGTCTCCAAGTCAAACATGAAACCTACCTTATCACACAGAATAAAACTATACACACACGTAAGCTGATCATCATATTGTGTCTTTGTGGTTTAGGAGCGAGAGGAGATGCTGGAGAAGCAGCAGAAGGCAACTGCAGCCGAGAGTTTTGACCTTTCCTTTCTGACTCTGGAAGATCCTCCTGTGGAGGAAGTGGTGACTAATGTCTCCAGTGCCAAGGTGAGTCTAAAAATGCATCTTCTCTACACTTTCTTTCACAGTCCATTGCTGCGCACCCAAATGACATCGGCAGATGTTTTGGGAGTTTTGCTGTCTGCTGTAGGTGCAAACTGTTTACTAATGGACCACTTGGCAACTTGAACCTTTCTTTTCCAGGAGGAACTATATTTGTGAAAGCAAATGTCTGACTCAGCTGAACTTGACATTGAACTGCCAGCTCCTTAAAATAAAGTCTGTATGATGTCTGATAGAGCCGATGTATAAACAGCCAAATGGCTAAAACTGGCTGAGACTAGAAAGAATGCAAACGTTTTTTAAATCAGCATTTTATGTTTTCCACTCCACTCCACATTGTCACACCTTCACCATACACATTTCATATTCTAGGTTTTGACCTCTTGTTTTTTCTTTATTGTACTTAATAAGTTTTATATGATAACTTAATTTTTTCTCTTCCTAGCCTGTTCTGCAGTACTCCTCCGCATTTGATGACGAGGTGGCGGAGCTCCCAGACGAGCTGCCAGGCCCCCCTGAAGGGAGTCTGGAGTGTGTGCTGGAAGAGCCTCCTGAGGCTATGAACGATGCAGCCGCAGAGCCCCAACTCGAAGAGGAGAGCCCGGCCGACCAGGCACAGCCAAGCCGTCCTCCAGCCAGCATGGTGCACGGACCCTATTACTATTTCTACCAAGGTGGGTCATTCTCCACTCTCCTGCCTTAGCCTTGTGAGGTTTCCCATGGCCATTAAAACATGTTGAAGTTTAATTTGTTTGTTTTTTTGTGTTTAAAAAAACACATTAACATTCTTTATTAAACATAACTGGAATATTTGTTAAAATCATAGAAACAAACAATGGAGTCTGACCAATGCAAAGTGCAGGAAACCTGTTTGCCTTGGCTGTATAGGCAGTTGTTTTTCTTCACTCATGTTTAAACTTCAGCATTGATTCTTATCTCCTTTTCTCTCCCTGACTTATTTCTCCCTCCAGCCGATGACTGCCAGCAGATGTTCCTGCATCCTGTGAATGTACGCTGTCTGTTGCGGGAATACGGCAGCTTGGAGGCCAGCCCAGACTCAATCACTGCCACAGTAGTGGAGATAGTGGGACACACAGTCACAGAGGTCAGCAAATAAGGAAACACTAATTACTTACTAGTTGTTAACCCAGATAAGGATCATTTAAACTTCAGTTTATGTTGAGTATTTTTTTCTTTCCGTAAGTGCTAAATTCTAAACTTCAGTTGTTTGACTGTGGCAAACATGTCTCCATCATGGCTTTGTTGCAGGAGATCCGTCGTCGGCATCGTTATCTGGCTCATCTGCCTCTCACGTGTGAGTTCAGTATTTGTGAGTTGGCTCTGCAGCAACCTGTCCTCTCCAAAGAAACTCTGGACACATTTGCAGGTCAGAAAATTGTTCCTGTTTCAGGACATTAATTTTCAGTTGTGGCAGAGATTTATAGTAAAAATTACCACAAAACCTTTTAGACGACTTGGAGAAGAGAAAGCGCCTGAGGCAGAAGAAAGCGAGGGATGAAAAGCGCCGTGAGAAGCGAATTGAGATTGAAGAGAACAAGAAGCAGGGTAGATGTAAGTACTGAGCACTTCACAACAGCCGCTGAGAATGATTGTCCAGAAAGATGTTGAAAAATCTCTCTTTCCTAACAAAATTCTTGAACTTGTGTGGCTCCCTCAGATCCTGAGGTGCATATTGGACTTGAGAACCTTCAGCATTTCCCAGCATTTGGCTCTCCGCCTCACAACAGCAGCGCCCCAATCCAGCCTGACTTCACTTTTGCCCCTTCTTCACCTCTCAGCTGCAGCCCCTCCTCTGGTAAGAGTGGCTCCCTCCCTGCACATTATTATACTATCATTTCACTCATCAGCTAGCATTATGGGTTATGACGAGAGATGTGAATTAGGCATCTTCTCTACTGTCTTAGATGGGATGACATTCCCGAGTCTGAACGGGCAAAGCCCTTCACCTGTTGTGGGTAGTATGGAGGACGACTCCCACTGCATGTCCTTTGCACAGGTGTGTATGGCAAACACACACAGCATTATTGACTATCCTTGTCGTCAGTATAACGCCCAACCTAATTGAAGTGCTGAAGTTGTAGTACGTAACGTCTATACTTGAAATGGTGTGACCCTGACTGTGTCCTGTATAGATGCTAAGAGATGGGAGAGCCAGAGTTGATGCTGGGCCCAGGATCACTCTAAAGAAAGGTAGTGCAAGACTGCCGCTGTTGTGGTGGCTCCTAAAGTAAATGAGCCTACCAAAATAATAGAGTTTTTAGTATTGAGTTGGAAATGTGCATCACTTACAAATGTGTACTTAAAGTTTAGTTTTAATTGACAGACTAATTTTGAATTTTAAAGGTCAAGACAAACAAACAATGGATTCTGGTGTTATAGAGTTCATTAGTGGATATACATCTTATGTTGATGTTCCAATACCTGCATTCATTAGAGTCATGTACTTAAATGGTTTCATTTTTCAAAATACACGTTGCAATAAATGATAACTGGACGCTGCTTTTTGATAGCGAGGTATAGCAGTCAGACAAAACTTTACTGGAGCAGCTAAAATAACTGCATTAGTGTCAGACCACACGGTTTCAGATGAATATCACTCAACTCGTTGATTCTACTAAATCCTGGAGCCAAATAATTGATCACTATAATTTCTACAGTTTACGTAGACAAGTTATTTTTATAAACATCCTTTCCACAAGAGTAAGTCAAGCTCTCAAATCCAGCTGGATTGAAAATATAGTTATGTACTTGTACTGATAAGTGTGCAAGAGAAATTACTGGAGCTTTGTGTTTAACTGTGTATTTCCTGCCAAACCTGTTATGAAGTGGAACTCCCTGAAGGGCTCTTGGAAATTATTATTGTGTCTTGTGCTGTGTAGATAAATTCCTAGCTCCCCTGGCAGCGGACAGCGATGGAGAGGGCGACGGGTCGGACAGAGTCCCGGTGCCCAGCTTCCAGAACTCCTTCAGCCAGGCATTTGAGAAGGCACTTCTGGACCTGGACAGTGGTCCAGCTTCTGCTCCACAACCTGTGGTTGTTCCAGGTCTGCCATCAATGAAACAACTGAATCAAGTTTCTTTTTTATGCCTAAAGCCGTTGGGTGTGCTCTTAGACTTGCACTCATCCTGCTTCTCTTCTCTTTCAGATGAGAAAGGAGGAAAGAAGAAAAAGAAAAAGCAGAAACTTTTGTTCAGTACCTCCATGGTTCACACAAAGTAGACAACACTGAAGTTCATTTAAGCATCCTCAATTGTCTCCTGTGTTGATCTTCCCACTGCTTGTGTTTTTACTTTCATGCATATCTTTCTTGCAACTATAAGCTATGATGATAGGTTTTAGTATGCAAGTTCATGCTGCTTTAGTCATTGTTCCATTGGCTTGATCAGCAGTTTGCGTGTAATGCCATTAGTTTAATTTGCAATATTTTGTTGGTTTGTTGGAAAACCAAGTCAAAACTTTGCAGCAGCAACCTGCCACACTGGAAGCCCTACAAGTAAAATTCAATTCAGATGCCAATTAAGTAAAGGAATATAATAAGCTGCTCATTTTTATTAGGCTTTTAATGGCTTCCAACTCTGCTGAATCTGACTCTGAGCATTGAATCTTGGACCCACTAGTGAAGTGGATAAGAAATTTTAGGGTGCTTTATTACAGTAGCAGTCAGCCAGCTGCAGGTACGTTGCACCCTGTAAATGTTTCCAAGATACTCAGTGCTCAGACATGATTGGTCTTCACCTTACAACAGATAAACACTGAGATCTGTTTATTTTCAGTGCTTTGTCCCAGGTGATGATTTACACTTGGACATTATCCCCCTTCAGAATAGATTTTGGGGATAGCTGCTGAGTTCTACTCCCTAGTATTTTCTAACTGCATCATGAATACATGATCTAATATCATTGTGAGGAAGTAAAAAGGCAGTATTGTATCATTGAAGAGATTAAATCTGTTGTATTTGCAGAACCTCATTATATTATGACCTGTTAAACCACAAAAGATGGTTTAAGGACCACACATTCTTCTCATTCAATTTCTCCTCTGTGATCCCAGAATGTTTACTAACTTGTTAACATTACTCCCCTGGTTTAATTTCAGTGTTGAAAATGCGTGGAGTTGGATAAGTGCTGACATTTGGAGACTGCGTGTGAAACATAAGGAAAAGTGAAAAAAAAAAAATTGATTTGAGGGTTCTGTACTCACCTTTAAGTTTGAACAAGTTTATAGACTAGTCAATGTAACTAGTCTGTTGAAATGAATAAACACTTATGCACAATCAATGACCTGGCTGTTTGATTATGAATTGCTGAAATAAATAAAGGGTGATGTTTGGTTAAGATAGAACATTCATCCTCAAATTAGGACATTGGCTGCTGTGTTTTTGCTGCAGTGGTTTTCTTTGTCCACATGGAGGCAGTCCTCTTAAAGTTGAGGTCTGTAGTACAATATATTTACTGTGAGGGACCTCAGCCACAGAAACACTGACACTAACCTTGCTGCATTACATAAATAGATGAATGATAAGGAATCAGTTATGGATTGTCTTCCTCACATGACAATGAACTTTCATTCAGAGAGACATCAGTCAAAATAAAAATAATTGTTTAAGGACTTATTTTCACATTTTTCTCTCCTAGGAGAAAACAGATTGATGTTATAGAGGTGTGATGGGATATTCTCTCCCAATCGCATTATCCATTTTCAGCCGCGACAAGTTAAAGACGACAAGTTCGACACATTCAGCTCAACTTCAGACCGGATGTCACGGTGATAAGCCTTCAAAAATAAGAGTTGAACCGAAGCTTTTAAAGAGAAATTGGTATTTAATTCCTTCTTAGATGTTGTATTATGACGCAAATACTCTTTCACAAACGTCTCTACTTTCTGCTTATTCATTTTCTTCTAGTTTCTAGAAATTCTAACATACTGTTTTTACCACACATGCTTGCACTAACGCACCCACAGCTCAATCAGAAGCAGGTTGGAATGTGCAGTGTTGAGTAAGTGCAAACACACGTAGCAAAAACCATTATGAATAAATCTTAATTACTAGACACTGGAAGAAAATGAACGTATTTTGAAAGTCCAACCCGGAAGCCGTGTGTGGCTGTGTGGAGGCTGACCCGTCACAGTGTGTCTGGTCCAGCTTGTCAACAACACTGCAACCTGAGACGAGGGCAGCAGCTCAGTAAACCAGCTAAGTTAGCCGCACTGCTAGCCTTCCATATTAACCAACTATCCAGCGAGTCGCCGTCCCTCTGCTCACTTCAGAAACACGCGAAGTTGCCTCGACGCCGGAAGAAGATGAAGTGACTTTCCTGTTCGGTAAGTTGGGAATCAAACACGCACCGGAGGACAGGTTCGGTCAGTCGGTCTGTCGGTGTTTCCATTTTGCGACTCCAGCCTCTTGAGGAGTAGTTAGCTCACGGTGGCTAACCAGCGAGCTGCTGGTGCGTGTGTCGTTCATCTGTGTTGTTAGACAGCTTAAAGTGGACGTTTGCTCTGAGGGCTCATTCAAGACTTGGACGCAGCGGCAGGAAGTGAAATGTGCTGTTGCTCAGGTCAGCGGTGGGTTGAATACGAGGCTGAGTGTTGGGGGTGATCTCGCAGGAGGAAGAGGTGACACCTGTTGCCACTTCTACAACGGGACAGGGAAGTAGCTATTAAGGAGGAAAATCCCCAGGTTAATGCAGCCTTGCTGATTCACAGAATCTTTTTCTTGTTATTCATTTTAATCAATCACTAACTAACTAACAAAACACCTCCTGACTGATTGTCTCCATGTGTTGTGTTGTTTTTTTATGGGCACCATAAACCCAGCCTCTTGGTGAACTGTGGCACATGCCATTTTAACTTTATCTACTGGATCATATATTTATTAATCCTGATAAATACCACACTTGTGCACAATCTCCTAAGAATAGAGCAGACACTTAGTTCGTAGCTTTAAATGTTTCTTTGGATTATAATTTAAAGCTTTGTTGCACTTTATGTTAGAATTCATCTGAGAGGAGCTGTTCTCCTTGTCTTGATACATCAGTTGTTATGAAGTTGTGTGTTGTGTGTGTCAATAGGACGTTAGCTTTGATTAACTGGCTGAGCCGGGTTACTCACTTTATATCTTTTGACAGTCAAACACAACAAACATTATGTTGGCTCACCCTTTACCACTTCCTGCTGCAAATCAAAGACATGTGTCTGACTTTTGCTACACTTGTTAAAAATGCTTGCCAAATGTTTTTAATCTTCACTATATGTATGTTTCACGGCAGAGGGAAACAGTTGTTCACTGTTGATATTGTTTGTCAGTAATGAATTTGCTTAAGATACACGATGTGTAAGGTTGTATCAGACGGACAACGCGTGGGAATTCCTTTTATACAACTAGACCCTCGATCAAAATGAATGTTTGGCATTCCATTTTAGCCAAAGCGTTTCCTTTCAGTATCTTAAGATCAAGTTTTCAACGTTTCCATCTGTTAGCCGAGCATAAACCGTTTCTTTACATTTACCCCTTTAGCACAGTAGATTTATGGATTAAAATTGTTAAACCTGCAGCTGAGAAGTTAATCAGTGTAACTTAACAATTGATGTACAACATTAGATCACAGTAAGAACAAGTTGACGCAGCAAGACATGGTTCACCAAGAACAGAACAGGACAGCAAGAAGCCATGTTTGTTGGATTTATAGCTTCAACTGTCACAGATTGAATGTACATTAATATGGGACTTTTTGTGTGTGAGTGATGGCAGGTAAGCAGAGATGAGAAACGTAAAGCAAATATGACAGCAGGAAAAAGTAAACATGCTAAAGGTTAATAAAGTTAAGGATTTTCCTTGTGCATTTAGTTTTTCTTTTGTGTTTGGACGTCAGTGGTTATGTACGGGTGTGACTATGTTTACTCATGTCTGTGTCAGTGTAAACATTATCATCTATTTGAATGGGGGCGTGTGAACACAACATTGACGACTTATCTGCACTGCCCTGCAGTAGCTCTGCTGTGATTTGTCCAACCACTGTCTTAAACTCAATCTCAGTATTGATTTGTGAAAAGCTTGTGTGCTTAGCTGACACAACGTGTGATCCTCTCAGGCCCTTTCCTCCTTTGTGATATTACATTGCTCCTTGGTTTCAACAAAAGCCAGAGCTCCACGGCAGACTGTTGACATCTGGTCAGGTGAGACATGCCGGGGATTGTTTGCATCACTTTTCATCCAGGGTTTAATTTTTTTCCCAAAAGAATCATTCCTGGTGTAGCAAAGTGTCTCAACACAGCAACATGTGGAAGGCATTATCAGACATGAAGAAGGAGCGTCTTAAAGGGCAAGCACAGAAGTACTTGAGTTGTGAAGTTTTCTATCTTCCATCTCACTATAGAAACAACTGATAAAGCCGATAATCATGTGTGAAATGAAAAAAGATAGTTGAAATCAGATGATCTTATTTATCACGGTACTTTGACTGGAGACTGAAGAGCCACTTTAAGATAACCATGTGAAAGTTCATTAGGGGAGGGGCTGATTCTTTAATGGCAGTCTGGTGTGAGTTTGCAGTGGAATCCCTCATTCACCGTCAGAGCCTGATTTGCCTGTTACAACATGAACATGAAAACAAAGACATTGTACAGTTGTCCAACCCCTCCCCTGTCTCAGGAGCCACCTTAAATGGACGCTGATCTGACTATTGATGTACCAGTAATAAAGCGTAATGGTGCACATTTGTATTTGATAAATAATAAAATAAGTCTTAAAAAATTAAGTTGCATCAAGTCACGTATACATTTTAACACCTCCTCTTTGTTGCTCATTTAAAACAAATTAAATGTTGTGCAGCTAGCATTAGGAGTAGACAAAGTATGTAGCTAAACAAATGCAGTGTACATAATAAATGACTGCATCCTGTTGAGTTTTGCCAGTTCCAGCCTCCTGTTGTGTATGTTGGCTCACTGGGACACTTAAATGGACCTGAGCCATTGTTAATGTTATTAACAATAGCATGTAGTGGAAAAGACCATTTTATTATTTGTCATAGGAGAAACCCACAGGTTACTGTTTGCAGTAAGCCATGTTAGTGTAACAGGGAGCCAGCATGAAGCAGCTGACAAAACTTCAGCTGCCAATAGATTTATCATTCACACCTGCGCTCTCTCTACTGTGTCATGTCAAAATATCCTCTGGGCTTTGAGTGTAAATGTGATGACTAAAAACAGTCAATGTTAAATCTGTATTATCCTTAATTTAGCTACCAACACGTGTGCTTTAATCTGCAAGAATGATCAATAACCTTGTGTAAATATCTGTCTCACTTAGGTGTATGATTGTGGTGGAGTGTAAGGCACTCCCAAGACAAAGTCCACAGTAATGGCTAGATAGAGCCAGGCTTATTCTGAGTTGCTTTAGCATGATGCAGTGCTGTGGTTGAGTACCTCTTTATTAAAAATGACCATACATCAGTTTTTTGTGACACATGGGAGTACTTTTATTTTCCTTCTAGGTGCTGTTGAAGACGATGGCTGCTCAGGTAGAGGTTCAGCCCAGCGAGGTGGGGAGGACAGTGGCAGGAGGACGACTTCATCTGAATCCTCTGACTGACTCCAGTAATAAGAGCCTCATCGAGATCCCCTCCATCAACCAGTCCCACATCATCACCGCAGAACCAAACAAACCTGTCCCAGGACCCAAGCCACGACTCTCTCCTAAGCCTTTTACAATGGATAGCAACCCCAGCATTAAGCCCATACTTGCCCCAAAGCCTCAAACCAGGCCCCGACCAGAGTCCACTCGTCTTCCTGGATACAAACCAGAGCCTCCATGCAACCCAAAACCACAGCAACCAGCTGCCCCAGTTAAACTCAGGACAGTGTCAACTAATCCCAACCGTCCTGCCTCTACCTCCTTTAAAACGACTAATAAGGTGAACACTGGACAAACGACCAAGCCAGTAGTCCAGCCATTTAAACCAGCACCACCTTTTGACCCTGGAGACCCTACTAAACCTACTCTTCCTGTGCCAGCAGAGAGGGGGAAGCCTGTTGCATCAAGCTTAGGGTATTCCAAGAGCCTTAAACAACACCCAGCTGCAGAGTGGTCTGGAACCACTAATACAGAATATGAGAAGGACAAGACAACATCCAGCAAAGGTGGGGCCTCCATTACTAGAGCTAAGTCCATGGGTTTCCTTGCTCAGGTAGGGCAGGAGCAAGAAGAAAAGGACAAAGATAAACCTGAGATAGCTGTAACACTGAGACCCCATCCCAGAGGCTCCAGGCCAAGACCTGTGTCAGCAATTTTCCTTGATAGTCCAACCAAGACAGAGGCCCCAGATCCGGTCCCTCGCTGGGTTGGGAGACGGCCGCTTTCAGCTGATCTCACATCCAAGTTTGAATCCATCGGTCTTTCTCTTCACCGTAAAGGTCCTAAAGCAAACACTAAGGAGAACACTCCAGAGGAGACGGCACTGCCACTGAAGAGGCAGCAAGAGAAAACCCCAAAGAGTAACACACCACAAAGTACTGATGACGTAGCCAAGCCTGTCATCTCAGACCAAAGCAACAAAAGGGCAGAAGAAATGTCTGTCAAAGAGACTGATGAGACTAAGCGTAGGGTTAGCATCAAGTCACGAATCAGTCTCCTCTTAGACTCATCCTCCACTCCGGGAACTGGAGCCACTGGACAAGGCTCAGATCTTCACTCTCCAGTGCAGCAAGTCCCTGAAAATGAACCGCCAGTAGGCGTTAAAAAGCTCATCAAGCAGCTGACAGAGGATACGCCACCAACTCAGAGTCCTGTTCCCAAACCAGCGCTGAAGCCCCGCCCCTTGCCCCTCGACCTGACTAAAAGGTATGAGCTGCTCCTGATGTCTCCTCAGTTTGCTTTTGTCTCAATGTCTTTGTCCGGGAATCCCATTGTCATGCATGGCTTTTGTCTCGTGTGATGTATGTTCATCAGGTTTTCATCCGAGAGGTCACCCGACCTTGGCAGTGTTCCCCTCAGTGAGGCAACAGACCACCATGAGATCATCAGAGATCCTCAGAGGAGGGTAAGAGAGGGACTAGACAAATGAGAATAGCAATAATACACTGTTGTCGTGCAGTGCTGGGAAACACTATCCTGTAAACTATCCTCAAAATTTGCAAGCGGTACAGCTCTGTCAAGCAGTTAGTGAGTGTTGTATGTCGATGAAAATGCTGTGAACACATTCAAGTTGTAATTCAGGTGTATACATGTTTATATGATGTGACTAAGATATTAATACCTCACGTCTTAATTTGATGATCGCTTATTCCGAGTATGACCTAATTTGAATTAAGGTAACCAAAGAATGCTGTTTACATGGCTTATACAGACAATTGGCTTAATCAAGTTAATATTGCAATATTGGTGTTCATGTAAATCTAGTCACTGTAAAATTACACCTTATACACACACACACACACACACACACACACACACACACACACACACACCAAAATCAGTGTTGAAATTGACCCTTGTCTGTCTGCACTGGGAGGACAATTTTCCTAGGGGAGATGGGGCATTGGAGGTAAAGTAAAAAAACAATGTCACTGCCACAGATGTACATAGCTGTGTAACCTAAGACTGCCTGCACAATTAACCATTCCCGGTGGCTGCTGGTTATGAAACGCAGAGAGGAGATTCCTGGAAAAAGGTTAACACAGAGAGGCTTTGATTACCACCTCTGCGCCACACCCACTGTTATGAGGCCAAGCCAGAACAAGGGGATATCATTTCAGATCTGTTCACTCAATCACGTAAACGTTTTTGTGTGCTGTATTTTCTCCTGTGCTGTTGTTGTGCTGGGTTTGTAGTGAAAAGTGTTTCAGTTCAAATTTGATGTTTGAAGCTTTTATTTTTTGCATTAGCCTCATTTCAAGCCTCAAGTATTCAAATGATGATTTTTAATTAAACAAACTGAAAATTAGTTGCAAGTTTGCTGTCAGCGCTTAACAATTCTCAAAATATATCTTTATTTTCTCAGAATGAAGAGTTCACTCCAGAGCCCAGCGACCACATGACTTTTGTAGATTTTAAAGATTCTCAAGAGCAACTCACAAAAGTCTTCATGCATGAATGGCCTGAGGCAGGACAGATGCTTGATGCTTCTTCCAAGGACAGTGGTCCCAGCAGTGAAGTGCAGACAGTGCGGGCATCCTTGTTTGAAAATGTTGTGGAGAGGCACAGTGTGCTGATGGTGGATGAGAGCGAGCCTGCACACAAGCCCAAAGATTCACTCAGCAGCTTGTCATTAAAGAGAGGAAATGGTGAGGAAGAGGGAACTCTGGTCACTGCCACCTATAAAGAACCTGTGTCTCCATCGAGTCCTCTGCAGGTGCTACATGCCTTTGACACGGTGCAGGCTATTGAAGAGAACAGGGCAGTGAGTGAGTTTGTCCCGTCAGCTCAGTGGGAAGATAAGGCCATGACGCTACGCTCCAGGCGCTCTGAAGGAAGCCATCCGGCAGCAGAGAGAACTGGCACAGCACAAGCAGAACCAACTTTGTCAGTGACACCAGATCAGCAGCCACGATTTCTGAGAGTAGGAGCTTTGCCAAAGTGGACTTCTACGGGCCACGAGCAAGACGCAGGCATGGAGAGAGAGATGCTAAAGGAATCACAAAGGGAAGGAGAGATGGCTGTGGATAAAGAGAGGCGCAGAGATGCCGAGCAGGAGGAAGTGGCTGCAGCACCTAAACGTTTGAAAACCCTGCAGGCAGAAGAACAGCAGAAACCCAGGGTGACCTACTTTGCTTTGACTGGACAAATGCAGGAGCCAGTTTCTCCTGTAGATCCAGGAGCAAATATGGGGGACATGGCTATGCCATTTGATGATTTCTCTGTGAGGTCTGCATTTGGCGGCTCTCAAGGGAAGATTCTTCCCGTTAGGAGGAATCCATCATTAGAGGAAGCTTTTGGAAAAACCTCTCAAGATCAAGTTGAGGAGCTGATGAGGAGCCACATGCCACACAGGGAGATTAGACCAGCACTGGACGGACAGGACACAGAGGAAATGATGGTTGGAAAGAAAAAGGGTACAGAAAAAAACAAAGGTAAAATTAAAGAACTTGAAAGGGAAACACAGAGACAGCTTGAACTAGAAAATCAAGCACATTTAGAATTTGCACGAATGAAGGAGAGAGAGCTGCAAAGAGAATTTGAAAGGCAAAGACAGAAAGCCTTCGAGAAGGAGAAACAAGAGTTTGAAAAGAAGCAACGAGCACTGGAAAGGGAGAAGCAGATAGAACTCGAAAAACAGCAACTGCAAGAATTGGAAAGAGAGAGACAAAGAGAACTGGAAAGAGAGAGGCAACGGCAACTTGAGAAAGAAAAACGTCGAGAATTGGAAATGGAGCGGGAGATTGAAAGAGAGAAACAGCGAGAACAGGAAAAGGAGAGACAGCGTGAGCAGGAGAGGCAAAGACAAAGGGAGGAAGAGAGGCAGAGAGAGCTGGACAAGGAGAGACAGCTGCTGGAAATCCAAAAGGAGAAACAGAAAATGGAGGAGCTGGCGAGACAGCAGCTCTTAGAGTTTCAAAAACAGAAGCAGAAAGAAAAGGAGAGGCAGCAGCTTATAGAACTCGAGAAGCAGAGACTCCGAGAGAAGAGGGAGAGAGAAGAGGCAGAGAAAATAAAGCAGATGGCACTTGAGCAGGAAATGTTGAGACTGAGAGAGCTTGATAAAGAAAGGGAAAGACAAAGAGAGCTTGAGAAGGAGCGTCAGAGAGAGATGGATAGGCAGAGGGAAAAGCAGAGAGAGCTGGAGAGACAGAGACAACTAGACATTGAGAGGCAGGAATTAGAAAACCAGAGGTCCAGACAACGAGAGCTGGAGAGGGAAAGGCAGAGGAAGGAGGAGTTGGAGAGACTTATGGAGATGGAGAGAAGAAGACTCTTGGAGTTTGAAAAGCAAAAACAGGTAGAGCGGGACAGACAACAGATTTTGGAGTTGGAAAAATGCAGACTGAGGGAGAAGATGGAGAGAGAGGAGGCAGATAAAATGAGACAGATAGCCAAACAGCAAGAAGCAGAGAGGCAGCGACTAAAAGAGAAGCAGAAGAAAGAGGAGCAGGAGCGTGTGAGGTTGTCACCCCTCAGACCCAAAGTGTTGGATCTGGACTCCGTGCAACGAAATGAACAGTTTCCCAAACCTGCTTCTCAGCGCAGTGACCCTGCAACACGGTGGAAAGAGCCGTCTCCAAGAGTTGAAGAGTCTTACAAACCTGCCATCCTCGATATCGACACTTTCACATCCCAAACCCAGCCCTCCCCCAGTAAAGACCTGTTTCCTGTACCTGCTCCTCAGGGAGTGGACACTGGCTTTGGCTGGAGGTTACAGCCCACACCTGAGAGAGATGTTAGCTGGAAAGTGCCACATCAGGCTTCAGTAGGTTTCTCCAGCCCAGTATGGACAGCGTCTCCTCAGGATCCATGGGAGCTGCGGCCCGTCGAGATGTCTGTGGACAAGCCTGTGGCCGAACCCAAAAAACATTCCAACATACTCAGCCCAGAGAAACTCCTCCTCAGGCAGGAGGAACGGCTCCTGGCTCCTCAGAGGCACTGGTCTGCCCTGGTGGACAAGCCACAGTACTTGAGCCCTGTTCCTGGGACAGACGCCAAAATTGGAAGCTCTGTTGATGGAGTCAATGACAGCAGCGCCCCCCCAAGTCAGATATGGTTCCTCAGTGAGCCACAGACTCAAGATAGCAAGGGGGAAATGTGGAGCCAGAGGAGGTCACAGGGATCCCAGGTGAGTCTACCATGACAGACGTTTTGATCTGTTGATTTATGTATTGTAAAAATCTTTGTCAAGGCTGACAATTTATATTAGCTTCTGTTTTTAACCTTAAAGCAGCTTGGCTCACTAATATCTATAAAAGAGGACAAATCCAATCATATAAGTAATATTTCTTTTTATAAAAGTTTCCCAGCAAAAATTTTAAAATTCAACAAAAGCTTGTTCCTGCATAGAAAAAAGGAAAATGGAATCTGGAAATGATTTAACACCATTATGAACTAATACAAACATTAATGACTGAATCAAATAGGTAGATTATGATAAAGTACAATCAACATATGTAAATGCAGGATTTAAAAGAATACATATTATTTTGCTACACTCCTCTTGTATAGATAACTCCAAGTTATGACCAAAACGAGCTCCGAAATTGAAAAATAGTTTCTCAGGAAGTAGAGTCTATGTAGGGCTGGACAATAAACTGTTATAGATAATTATCATGATATAACTTTTCCTTGATAGAAATGTAAGACATGGAATAGAGTTACCCTGTACCAAGTCTCTAGAAACGTAACGTGCACAGTCATGACATGAGGGTTAAAGTGACCGAACATGTGGTCCGACATCATTGATTGATAACTGACTAAATAAATGTGATTATCAGTTGAGGGACAGAGACTAGCAGACACACACACATGCTCACACGCCTGCAGACAGAAGAGAAGTTCTTCCTGCAGATTATGACATAGGAAATTATGTGTTTTTACTGCATTGTTGCAGTATAAGCGACGCCCTGTTTATCCAGGAACATATTGTAAATATGAATTCAGCAGGTCTTTATAAAGATCAGTCCTACGCGTGAGTGATTAGAAAACATCAGAGGGGAAGAGTGACTTGTTGACCTGCGGAGAGTAATGTGCCTTAATACAGTGGCACTGTTACTGTTACAATTTGTTATCAGGGTTAACCCTAAAAGATGCGCATTCATGTTTACATTTACATAAAAAATACTTATTCAAATACTTACCAATACCTTTATATATTTGGTTGTATTTGTGTTTTCTCTTTAATTATAGTTATTTATAATAAAGTTCATCGTTGAAATAACTATAATTACAAATTTTATACAATATAAAATATGGTTTCATAACAAGTTCTTAGAATGCACATTTGCTGATTTATTGAGCCTTCTTCTACTCCTTTGAGGACTTAATTATAGGTTTGTTTCTTTGTAAGCGCGTGGGAGGGCATGAATACTGCGGCTCTCCCAGTTATTTTTGGTTTAAAAATAGGTGTCCAACTTGCACGCTAACTGTGTATCGCAGTTGCTGAGAAAAAATAAATCCATCAACAACAAACTCACACCCTCCTCACAAAAAAAGCCAAAGCTTACAAGTTTGGCTGATCAAAATTATCATGTGGTAATTCATTTCTCTCACAGATTAACAAAACACTTAAGCATCATGGTATTAGGTTAATGTTATGAGGAGCTCATGTTGGCCCCTTTCTGATGTTAGCAGTTGAGCAGGATGCGGTCTCGCAGTGTGTCACGGCGATCTGCTCCTTCAAGCAGCACTGTAGAGGGAAGCCTTTCCAGGATGAGGAGCCGCAGCGCACACAGAGAGCGGGACCGCCACAGCTGGGTGAGTCAGGCTGCAGCTCGGCCATTGCTTTACTAATACTGCGTTCCAGGAAACCAGTACCCCAGTAGTGAGATTTAAGATTGTCAGATTGATGACAGGGTGTGAGTCCATTGTTACAGTCACCCTTTTCATTTGGACTGTTTCTCACACAGCTTTGTGGAGACGGAGAGGGAGGTGTGTGTGTTTTTGTAGCCTGTTGAGGCAAAACATAATTTTTTAAGTCCTCAGTTAAAGGTACCCTGTGTAGAATTTTGTGATATCTAGTGTTGAAATTGCATGTTGCAGCTGAACACACCTCACCATCTCCTTCCAAACATGAAAAAGAACCTGTGGTAGCCTTTGATTGTCATAAAACTCAAAAGGTGTTTAGTTTGTCCAGTCTGGACTAATGTAAAAAACATGGTGGCCTCCATAGAGAGGGTCCCCTCAATGTAAATATAAAGTATTTAAATATAAAGGGCCTTTTCTGGGGTAAAGAAAACTACGATTCATACAATTTAGATGAAACGAACTAGTGAAAATATCATGAGGATTATTCTACATGAAATTTCTGCCAAAAGTTTCATTTCACCTAAATCTTACACACTGGACCTTTAAAGGTTAGTGGTATGAAATGTGGTTAGAGTTGGGCATAAATTGGTCATGGTAAAGGTGAGGGATAAGGTTTTGGTTAGGCTATGCAGAATGAAGTCAATGCAAAGTCTTAATCGGGATAGCTGCATATACCTGTTTGTGTGTGTCTCGTGCATTGTAGACAGACAGTAGGTCAAAGTGGAATGCAGTTAGTTGGCTGATGGTTGACAGCACAATGCCGCCGTGTAAAAGTAGTAGAGAGTCTGTGACTAATGTTGATGGCATGGCCTGCTAGACTCACCTCCACCCATCCCACGTCATGTTCCAGGGAAGTGGCGGCCGAGCAGCTTCTCAGGCCTGTATTTCAGGATTGGATTAGATAAATGGTTAATGAGTACTTGCCCTTACTGCTCATTTATTAGACACCTGTCAGCATGGCTCAGGGAAACCTGTGAAGTGAAATGGCTCGTAATGATCATGTGTCCTGCAGCAGCGCAGACACGTAATATTTGTGTGACTGTGATCCTCTGTGCCATTTGGAAACACCTGTCATTTCCAGCTCGTAACCTTGTAGTTCAGGTCTGCTTTTACTTTTTGACATTGGTAAGCCAAAGTTTGTCTGCGTATTTGCAACTAGACACACTCACATATTAGATGCCTTCAAACACATCCAGTCTGTGTTTATCAGCTGTGCAGGGTTGGGCTCAGTCGGCTCTTTGTCATTGAGACGGTAATTGCAGTTCCCGGTTGAAGGCCTCCACACTGAACCCAGGAGTACAGTATATTGTGTCCTATAATTGCACAGTGCCATGACACAGGGCTCGGATTAATTCACCATGAGTTCAAAGGTCACTACTGCCATCTAGTGGTTGTGTTTCAGTCTGTCTATGTCGCTCTTTGGTGTCAGGGGAAGTACTTTTCTTTTTGTTTTTGTCAGTGTTTGTGCTTTTTGTTTGAAAAGTGGTGATTTGATAAATTGCTGTGGTATTCTTTTTTTTTAATTAGACCATTGAAAATACCAAACACAGAGCTTAAACTAACAGGAATTTTATTTATTAACATATACTGTATTGTCACTATATCGTGAAGCTAAGATTACATCCTTATGATCCAATAACTAAAGCTTTTCAATTCATTATTATATATAACAGTGGAAACAAACAAATGATTTGGAAGAAGAAGAATATTTTAAAATTAAAAAAAATCCCAGCATTTTTTATATTTTGGACCAGGTGAAAGAATATCCCTGAGACTCATGTGATAGTACCAGATAATACAGATTGAACAACAGAAACACATTTTTAATACCTTATTTCCATAAGTGTGGGCAGATATTAGATCTGATTTATTTCCCCACGTTGTATTGAGTGGTTGGTGCATCCTCAGACTCACACAGATGAGGTAATAGTTGTGTGGTGACATCACTGGTGGAAGTCAGAGGTTCTGAGGCTGGAGAGTGGGGCAGAGCAGAGATGGGCACTGGGCTGAGAGCTATGTTGTACATGTGGTCATGCTGCTTGACTCCACACTGCCTCTGGGTAAGTGACAGAACTACTCTCCTATTATCTTAGAAGATAATACATCTTATTTAACACACTGAATGTATGTATGGATCGTTACCAGTATTCTGTATTTACTATAGCTACATCCTGTTTCATGTGTGGATGCTGGTCGGTTTGTAGCAGGGCTCCACACAGACTGATGAGGCCACTGGTGAGTCACTTCCAGTAGATGATGCTCAGGAGGAGGAGTGTTAGGAAAGTAAGGGAGCAGTGATATTTTCCTTCTTTATGTCTAGTTTTATTCATTTTACAATATTTATAAAATTACCACTCAAGAAAACGTAACCATTTTGCCATCTCTCATCTATGACAAAATTTAGGTTTACATGTTGGTAGGAAATAATGTTCAAATAACTGATTTAAAAAATGCTTGTTTTGAGTAGAGCTGCTACTAACGTATATTTTCATGATCAAGTAGTCTGTCATTTTGTTTTTGGATTAGTCCAGTAAATATTCATCTGAACATAGGACTTACCGTCTATAAATGTACTCATTATAAGGCTATAATAATCAATACATATTATAAAGAAATAACATATGAATTACATTTCTTTGGATTGCCAGATTAGATAATTAATTGCTTCAGCTGCAATTTTGAGGATTTTGTTCTCATGATAATTAAGTTGAGAAGAGGGAATATTGATAAAGCAAACACAGTTATGGTACCATATGTTTCAGGAAAATAATAATATTCCTGTATGTCTTTACCACCAAGCAAGACATACAAAATGTAAACTGTATGCAAACGTAAAATATGCAAACGTAAAATATGTAGAAAGTGAGTAAAGCTTTTGAGCTGAGGCTAACTTAGCTTGTCCTTGAAGGTCAGATTACTCAGGAAGAGACGACGGTTGTCAACCTGAGGAGAATGTGAGATAAGTCTGTTGTGTGTTGTTGGAAACGAACAACCTCACCACGGATTCACGTTGAACACTTCACAGAAAAGATAATCAGATTACCTGCAGGGGGCATATGTGGACAGGGATCCAGCTTTTATGAGCCCCTCTGTCCCAGTTTGCTCTGAGGTCAACTCTCTGAAGTGTGTCTGGAGTCGCCCACTGTGGCTTTATTTAGGCCACCAGCTCACTGGCACCTTACAACTCAGACGTGTTTAAGTTGGTAGCATGTGTTGCTGTTTGCACAAGTCTGACTGATTTGAATAAACGTTGACTGCAGGCTGTTGTGATTCTTGCTTTCGGCTGTACTGTGTTAACAAACTGGTTCACATTAGACTCTCTTTAGAGTCACACCTGTCTTTTCACTCTTGTCTCTCATGCACGTCTAATCAATCTATTTATAGTTTTTCTCATTCCTATCTTATTATATCATCCTCACTTTCTTTAGCGTTGTCACTGTCTGTTTTGGATGAAGTGACGTCTCTCCCTCCTCATTTGTCCACACTGCGTCTCTGCTCCGGCTGTGACACTTCTCTGTCTTGCCCTGCAACTGATTCAGGCTGGAGCGACAGAGCACCGCAGAACATATATCAACCCTCCCCTCTCTCCCTCCCGCTCTGAATCAGGGACCTCCCTTTCTTTCGCTCTCACTCTCTCTGACTCTGTTCCACACTCCCTCTCTCCACCCAGTTTCTCCTTGACTGTGAGTCCTAGCGCTGTAGTACAGTGAGCAGCGCTGCTGACGCATTTTCTCCTACCTGCCTGTACCTGCAGCAGAAGAAGGGGAGAGTAACATTTTTTCTCCTTCCGTCTTTTTTTTCTCCTGTGGATTTGACTTGTCCACCACAGGACTCTCTCCTGTTTGCTCTGTTTTGCGTTGCATTGGTTTCTCCCTGGTTTTCCTTATGGAATACGAATGACTACAGCAGCTTTCCTTGTGCCACCAGCTGTCTTGCACCATTTCTCCTCTCAGCTTTGAGCCAGAAGGTAACGTAGTACCACGCAGTATGGGGATGTGGCCTCGTTGGATAGATGGATTTCTCAACTTTTAACCTGGGCCCTTTTTTTTGGAAGAGACACATCAACCTCATACCTGGAAGTACTGCCAGGCTGATTGAGGCTGGGATCAGGACAGAGAAACTCACACCTGGAGGATTTGCCTTGGGGGGGGGGTCACATAGTGTTGTTGAAAATCCAGTTCTAATAATTGTAGCCCAGTCAGGCCATATGATGGTATCACATAACTGAATGTTTTGTCAAACTAAAAGCGCAGGTTGCGGATTCGATTGATATTGCTCGTACTTTTACTTTCGGTCTGAGAAACATTGCCGAGAAACATGTTGGTAGACAGCGCAGCAGTTTTCCAGCCTCTCTCACAGAGTAGTACCCTGCATATCTAATAGAAAGTGCTGGCCTTACGTAACCTTTACATGGGTGTTTTGCCAGGCGTATCATAGCTATCATTAGTGTGTGCATTGAAATCGACATTAGAAAGCTCCACAATTAACTTAGGGCCGACATCCTGGAACCTTGACAGTGATGAGTTGAAACAGAGTCCTGATGGCTCCAGTGGGACTGCACTGCAGAAAGACCATTTAGTGAAACCGAAGAGCAGCTCAGTCCTGTAACGGTCAGTGACTGACTGGTGTTGTCTGTGCTGCAGACGCCACCAACATCAAAATCAGCTGAGCTGTGTTGTTTTTCTCTGTGTCACCTTCCTCGTTGCTGCAGTATTGACCCAGCAACACACATCAGTGAATACCTAGGGCACTGTCCCCGGACCACCACCTCTCAGCAGAACTAGACTCTAATGCTTTCCTGCTGCTGTGATAACAGGAGTCACAGCTCAGTTCAAAGACTCTATTCTAGCACTCCAGGTCTTGCCAGTAGTGGCTGGTGATGGAGTATCTGGGGGACAAGCTGTCGGTGGCTCAGTCTCAGGTGTCAGGATGGGTGGGAAATGTCCGTC